ACACAGAGAGAGAAAGAGAGAGAGAGAGAGAGAGAGAGAGAGAGAGAGAGAGAGAGAGAGAGAGAGAGACATGTTTTCCTTTGAAAAGTCACCAAATACAAGAAGGCGTGTTGTCCATAGCTGCCTGGTTGGCATATATAATGTGCTGCATGATTTCAAGAACATTCATAACAACAAAAAAGGTATTGATTCCTTATCTTCTGATGGTGTGGTTTGTAAAATATCCAAGAAGATGGGCACAGCATTGGCAGTCAGAACCAACAAAAAACACAAGTGCTGTAATTTACAAGTCATTGGAGCTGAGGTCTCAGGACACAAAACTTCAGTCAGGTAACAGTCTAGAATTTCAGAGGTATGGCTCTGCTTCAAACATGAGCTATGGGCAGAAGTGAACAAAATTAATGAATCTCAAGACTGAATTTACCCACAGTCCCATCCCCAAGTCTGGCCTACTGCAGCCCACTTTGTTTTCACAGGTTCCAAGATGTTAAGTTGGACATGTAGACACACAATCTGACAGGACAGGGTATGACTCATCCAAAATGTTTGGAATCCAAAGTGTTTCAGATTTCAGGGTTGGTTTTGTTTTTGTTTTGTTTTGTTTTTGATTTGGGGAGATTGACTTATACAAGTTGAATGTATCTCTAATTCCAGAAGTTCCTCAAATCCACCTTCTTAGCTCTGTTTAAATAATTCCCTTCTACAGTATCCCAGATTGGTTTTGAGTCAACTACTCTGAGTCTGTAAAACCTCTGGCTTTTCTTGGGAATATAATACTCCTCCCTGTCTTCTTCAAAGCCAACTCCCTCCCCATGCATGAGGGAAAAAAGAGAAACCATTCATTATAGAAGAACAATAGAAAGGAGAGTCCTGCCATCAGGAGGCATCCTATCATAAAAAGGGAAGGATTTCTGAACATTGCATGTTTAAATTTTAGGAAGAGGGTTCAGTAGACAACACCTTCTACTAACTAACTTCTACTTATAAAATGTCATATTTATCAGTCATAACCAAACTATGCAATATTTAAACTAAAAACACCACTCATTCAATAGACTATGATAATATAGTTCTTAACAGTATGATGCCATTGGCCAAATAAGCTACTCTTAGTAATACAAATTATAAGAATGATAAATTTGCCAAATTGAGATAAAATTTAATTGACATAAAATTGTCCATAGTTTTAGGATCTTGTGTCTTGTTTCAATACATGTATATACTATATAATAAACTTTGGCTTTTGGATTTCTTTCTCTTTTATGATATCTGAGTACAGTTGTGCATGTGGCCAGAGGACAACTTTGTGGAATCCAGTACTATCCTTCCACTTGGGCTCCAGTGACTGAACTCAGGTAATAAACTTGCATTGCCGGTGCCTTTAGCTGCTGAACCATCTCTCCAGCCACCACCCCTTTGTAATTTTGACAGCAGTATAAATTAAAAGCTTGGGAAGCAAGACTTCTACATAAAGGTTTCCTTCCATACTACATTCCAGTATGTAAGACACTCCTTTGGACTCTGGAGTCTAGAGTGTCTTTTGTTTGCATTCAAATGTTTTATGTATGTTTTATCTGCATGTATGTATGTGTACCATATGTGTGCATTGCTGCACTGGCTTATTACAGAAAAGGACTTTGGATCCCCTGGAACTGGAATTACAGTTGACTGTGAGTCATCACTTGGGTGCTGGAAACTGAACCTAGGTCCTTTGCAAGAGAAACCAGTGCTCTGAATTTCTGAGCCATCTCTCCAGTCCCCCTCTATGCATATTTACTTGTATATATCCCAGCCATTTAATTTCTGGTTGCCATTTATCATTGACATCCTTCTACTTACGCACATCATTTTTTTTTCTTATTTAAAAAAACACACTTAAAGCCTACACTTCACATAGATAGATTATCTCAAAACAAAGACATTTCTGGAGATGCATATTGTTAGCTTCACCCAGTTTCTCACTTAGAAGAAGATGAAGACTTATCAAGATTACTTGTTCCTCATCAATAATTTGGGAGGTTAGACCAGGACTCTTCAGACCCAGGTTCTCTCAACCACAGCATTTGCTGTCTTAATGTAAAGCACTATAAGCTGGCGTGGCTCAAGGGACACAATACCCCCCATGACCACTCTGGAGTTCAAGGAGGTCCTATACTACCCAAAGAATGAGTGTTGGGTACAAATAACTGAGTATGAGAACAGACAATCAGGAAATTGAGTTAAGTCCTCCCAATTGCTTAGGAAAGAATTCTTTCTTCCAGCCCCATCATTCTTTTTTTTTTTAAAATTTAAATTAGAAACAAGCTTCTTTTACATGTCAATCTCAGTTCCCTCTCCCTCCCCTCCTCCCCTGCCCCCCTTGAGCCCTGTCCCATCCCCTTTCTGCTCCCCAGGGAGGGCAGTTCCCTCATTCTTTTAGTGTTCTAGTTTGCTTCCTCATACACCTACAGCCCCTGTCTAGCCCTTTGAATTCTTTCAAGCATTAATTCTCCTTTGCCTAACTTTTTCTCATCATCTCTACTATTCAAAGCTACCAAACACTAAAACAACTAACACGTATGGTAGCATATGCTCCCAATCTAAAGATTCAGTCATGTGAGAGGACCTGAAACTTAGAAGCTCAAAGTTCATTGTCATGTTATTGCATTAATACTGATAATAGTGATAAAATGCAATGTCATAATATAAGAAAAGGTTAATTGTATTATTTTTCACACAACTCTCACCGTCTTCTGGATTTGGGGCTGTCAATACATACTAAGTCTCACTAATAACCTATGGTTTTATCAATTATTTTGCTGTTAGCAAATACCCAATAGATTCTTGGAGGCTCCAGTCACTCCTTGGAGGAGTACATTTGGTTGCAACAGCCTCAGACTTCAGAAACACCACCTGCAAGCATTTTGATCAGTAATATGTTGCTGTATTTGGGAAAGTGCTTCAAATCAGCAGTGTGACTAACCTAGGAACTAGATCACCTACTGTCATAAGTCACCAGGATTATTGGTCCTTTTACCTTATAATTGAGTGCTATGAAAATAATAACTTTAAACTGTTAAACTGTCTCCTTTTACAGGAGATGCAAGCTTGCCACATGAAGAAGTGATGCTTTCAGGTTATCTTTTTCCTTTCTCTCTTCCTTCCTTTACACAAGCCCCCATGCCCTCACGCCTCCCATACTCCATCAGTTCCCCTTGGATTCGCCTTCACGCCTCCCCATACTCCATCAGTTCCCCTTGGATTCAACCTCACGCCTCCTATACTCCATCAGTTCCCCTTGGATTCATCTTCATGCCTCCTAATACTCCATCAGTTCCCCTTGGATTCGCCTTCACGCCTCCCCATACTCCATCAGTTCCCCTTGGATTCAACCTCACGCCTCCTATACTCCATCAGTTCCCCTTGGATTCATCTTCATGCCTCCTATACTCCATCAGTTTCCCTTGGATTCACCTTCACGCCTCCCCATACTCCATAAGTTCCCCTTGGATTCGCCCTTACTCCTCCCATACTCCATCAGTTCCCCTTGGATTCGCCTTCACGCCTCCCATACTCCATCAGTTCCCCTTGGATTCGCCTTCATGCCCTTCCCATACTCCATCAGTTCCCCTTGGATTCATCTTCATGCCTCCTATACTCCATCAGTTCCCCTTGGATTCGCCCTTACGCCTCCCATACTCCATCAATTTCCCTTGGATTCGCCCTCATACCTCCCATAGTCCATCATTTCCCCTTGGATTCTGCCTTGCTTCCCTGCACACACTGTACTTCCATCTTTTTTTTTTGAACATGGATTCATTTTTGTTCTCTGAAGTGAGTTAAATGGTAGTTACCCATGCACCAGAGAAATACAAATAGCAGTAGGCATGTGATGGAAAAGTGTGCTTCACCCCTGAAAACTGTTATTCACTTGTCAACATCGGCCTCAGTATCCTTGCACTTCCTGTAATTTTTCTTTTCTCTCTCTCTCTCTCTCTCTCTCTCTCTCTCTCTCTCTCTCTCTCTCTCTCCCTCTCTCTCTCTGTTCATTTCTTTCTCTTACTGGCTTAAAAGACCAATATGAATACTTAATAGAAATATAGTGCAGAAAATACAAACTCCATGTAATTCTTGATGAAATGTAGTTTTATGTAATATATACACGGAGGCACATGCCATGCATCACACAATAGATGAAACTAGCTAACTTCAACCAATTACTTCCAGTAAGAAGAAAGCAAATAAAATGCCACAGGAGAACAGGTGTTCCCTTTAAGAATTAAAGAAACAGAATACACAGCTTACTCTGAAACCACTTTATTGAATTATGGAAAATTAGGATGTGTAAAGTAATGTAGGCACAAAAATAAGATTTTGAATTGTTTTTTGGCTGAACCTGTAGCTGAGATCTTTAGACTGGTACATACATACGTATATATTTACATAGAGAATGTTTTGGTTAAAAAATCACAAAATACATCTCAATACTTGATATATTCCAGATAAAACTGTTCAGAAACAAGAAAGAACATTGCACAGAATGAAAAAATATGTATCAACAAGTTCTTCCTGAATGTGAGGATTGAAAGAGCCTGCAGATTAGACATCTGTTCATAAGGGAAACTTCAGCAGGAGGGAGCACTCCTCCTACAGTAGACAAGCTCTGGTCTCATTCTGAGGTCAGGATAATAAATCCATGGTAATTTGAGGCTTCTTCCATGGCTCACTGATTGAGGAGACACTAATTAGACATTGATACTGAATGTTTCATATTAATACTGCTAAGGGATGCAACAATACAATGATTCATACGCAGGGAGGCATGAGTTGCACTATATATGAATATACACATGCATATATAGTGTGGATGAGAAGGTGCCTGTGTGTGGCTGCACACATGTGGGCACATGTACATATATGTTTGCATGCATGTTCAGCTCAGAGGATAGCCTTGGGTGTCATTTACAAGCAACACCCAACTTGTGTTTTGAGACAGGGTATCTCATTGGCATGAGAGTGGGTTGGTTGTCTGACAAACAAGCCTCGGAGATCTGCCTGGTCTTTGCCTCCCCAGTGCAGGGATTACAAGTTCATGCCATCACATCTGGCTTTTATTTTAAATAAGGTTCTGAGGACTGAACTCAGGTCCTTGTACTTGTAAGGCAGGTATTATACTGACTGAGCCATCTCCAGGTCAGTCCAAATATATTTTAATACAGCCTATTTCTACTAAACTGACAGGAGGACATGATAGAACATTCAATTGTAGGTCATTTATGAGAAAATCATCAATACATGACCAAATACATTGATGGAGTTTTGAATCACAAATCTGATGTTCTCCATGTACATCTATGCAGGCTTTATTAGACTTCACTGTGGCATTTCATGAAAATCAGATGAGATATAAACAAGATTTTTGCCATAAAGAATATACAACAAATGTTACATGATACAGAGAAACAAAACTCATGATCTTCACATTTACAGAAACTTATACAATCTTCTCTGAAGGAAACCTGCTATAATTCAAACTTCTCATCTTGAAAGTAATCCGCAGAATTGAGATAGTCTTGCAGTTGATCATATTTCTGCACATACAACACAAAATTAGTCACTTTACTCACAACAACAAATAAGATAGGCCTTTCAAACTACTTAAATGCATGTCTAATGGAAAAGTGGGAACAAAAATCACTTCATTATAAAGAGAAGTTCTGTTTCAAATAAACATTTCTAACTCAAAAAGCATTGGAAAGAAATCAAATAATAGTGTTATCAATTCATATATCTTACAAGTTATAATTGTGAAGCATAGCATAAATATAACAATTCAATAGCTAATCCAACATATACTTTTAGAACAGATGTGTATGTATGCAGACAGTTTCCTACTAGTGACTGTTGAGGGGCAGGGCTTTAAAAGACATTTCCCCCATCCCTAAGACAAGACATCATGGCAACCAGCACAACTGCAGAGAGGGCTCAGAAGAGAAGTCATGAATAGTTTAGGTGACCAGGAAAGTCTGGCATTTAAGTTGTTCTGGACAAAAATATTTGATAGGAAAAAATTTAGAGGCAAAAGTATCCCTCTGCCAGTCCAAGAGATTAACAGTTTATCCAGCAGTACCATGACAAGGGTGTATAGGAATGTGATGCCATCTGAGAGAAAGAGGTAGGATTGAACCAAAGAGATTGAGGTCAGAGAATAAAAACTATGAAATACTAGGTTATGGATTGAGCAAAGATTTGAAATGCAATGTGATGCTGCCAAAGATTTTAGAACAGAGGACTGACCTCATTTGAAGTACATGTTCAGAAAACTGGTTAGCTATTCTATAACTGTATGGCAATGAGTTATGAATCTGTTATGACAAATTAGGCAATGAGGACTCAAATCTGTGGGGCAACAATGGAAATGGAGGGTAAAGAACAGGATGGAACATGTTAAGAGATGGGGTAAGGGTGTCCTGGAAATTCCAAGGTGAAAGAGTACAAGAATGATGGCAGGTAGGACTATCTAAGGCAGAAAGGGAACAGGGAAGATACATGAGTTCACATTTAGACAGAGTCCAAGTATTTCTATCAGTTGAAGGCATTGAATTATTTAATGGTTTTCTAACTTGGTTTATGAACTCCGAGAGAAGACCTCAATGGCCTGAATTCTATGATGACAAGGATTCATGGGAAGCAATGTAAATATTGTATTTCCATGGGAGGCCCAGAAGCCCATTTTCATAATTTCAACATCCTCAGGGAAGATGGAAGAAAAGAACAAGATAGACAGTGATCTGCTAGCATAGGCCACTTAAGAGTTCTCTTGCTTTTAGTGCATGGAAGTAAGTGGAAGTAAGATTATCTATGATTTAAAACCTGCACCTTAAAAAACTGGCTGTTTTAGGCTTATTATTTTATTTTTATATTGTTTGCTCAATTATTTATAAAACTTGCTTTGGAAAATTAAAATGTGTCTCTGCATACTAAGAGAAACAAATAACAATCTTTGCTTGCTTATATTACAAATAACAGCTAATGGCAGTTGACCACTTTCTAATTCCAGGCCTTAAATATATCATCCATCATTTGCATGATCGAAGTCCTAATTATTGCTTAATTCCTATTTTACAGGGGTGAAACAGGTTTAGAGAGATCGAGTAACTTGCTTTCATAATCTACTGCTAGCCAGTGGCAGGACAAATATTCAGATGCATGCTTTTAACCTTTATAGGATGCTGTTTTTGAGTTTTAAATGGCAAGGGTGGGGCAACAGCTATTCAGAGGGGGAAAAATGAAAATCACAAAAGGGAAAGTGAAAGAGAGGGAAGGTCATTAGGACCACTCTGCCATCTTCTCTGCCTGAAGATGCGGCTCCTGTAGCTCATCACAGAACCTTTGGGGAGTCCAGGCTTTGCTTTAATAATGAAGAGCACTCCCATACAGTACCAGATGAACATTCTGACAAGAAGATTCCAGACTGTGGAAATGGGGAAGGGAAAGTAGTCAGACTCTCAGCAAAGCCTGGCATCCTCTACCCAGAAGGAGCAAATGAGACCAACAGAAAGGAAATGATGTGCAGGTAGAAGCTCAACAGGAAATTCTAAGCCCTCCATCTTTAATTTACTTAAGAACCAGCCAACTTTTAGAATGTTAGATGTTTAATACCCTTAAGAAGTTTCATTCAATTGGTCTGGGTAAGGCCAGGAATTATGTATTTTTCCACAAATTTCTAGGTGACTTTGACATAGGTAGTTAAGAGTAATATTTTGAGAAATACCAACTTAAGGTATAGAAGAAAAAGAAAAGAATAAAATGTTAAAAGGGGAGGGTGAAAGAGAAGACTTAAGTAAGGGAAATCTCATTATAATTCGAAGTTCTTATTTCTGTAGTACATTATTTTAAATATAGCTGTAAAGCAGATTTGATTCTTCTTTTATGGATGTGTTTAGATGTGTGTGTTTATGGCAGAGGTCAATGTGGGATATCTTGCTCTCTGTCTTTCAAGACGAAGTCTCTCATTGAATCTGATGCTCATGCATTTGGCTGGCCAGAAACACCCAGGGATCCCCCTGTCTCTGCTTCTCCAGAGAATTGGAATTAGGGCACATGCCATTGTACCTGTGTTTTACATGGGCACTATGGTTTGAATTCAAATTCTCATGGTTGTGTGGCAAAGCACTTCACCTACGGAGCCATCTCCCTGTCCCTTTGGCCTGCCACTTCTGCTGACATGCTATCTTCTTTTCCTGATATCCATATTCTTATCAACCAATCCCAACAATCTTATTGTCTATCTCCCAGGAAAACCCATCAACATGTATATTTTCTTCCTAATGAAAGAGATGTTGGGCACATTGGAATATTTTAGAATGGCATGTATGTTTGCAGATTTTGTTTTCATTCTGATTTTCCTATAATTTGCTCTTTTCTTGTATTAAAGCTAACTTGATACCCCTTGACTATTAGACTAAAAGCAGATAATTCTATCACAAATAGTAGGAGGAAAAAAAGAGTGAGGCTTAGTCGGCAGGTCTTTAGTCTATGGTTGAACAGACTAAGATTCTGGGAGAAAAGAAGAAAAACGCTTAAGTAGAGAAGGGACAGGTAAGGAGCAGAGTGAGAAACACAAGCAGGAAGCAGAAAACAGCATCGTGTGCAAGACAAGAAAAGGATGTGGCACACTGGGAGATGGGAACATCCAGAGTCACTGAGATGGGCTCCAAGTAGCACAGACCCAGGCACTTTAGAGAGGAAGAGTAAATGTAAGACATGGTGACTGCAGCCAAAAAAATGCATGCGTTCACACATACAGTGTGCTCTCACGCTACAGGATAGCAAGACTGAGAAATGTCAGAGCATTTGACAAACTGAAATTTTATCATAACATAAAAAGCAATGTATGTATTTATGCTGGATATAAGCTCTCTTGTTTCTAGGGAATTTTTTGGAAAAGTATTAAACAACTATTTTTAAATTAAAATCTTTTAAAAAGCCCCCCAATCCAAGACACAATGAAGTTCTTTGCTGCTTTTACACGAGGGAAAACTGGGTCTGTCTTAGGTATATGCTTTATTCTTTTAACATCTAATGTTAAATGTTTCTCTTAGTGGAGGATGTGCTGGGTAGTTTTATGTCACCTTGACAGAAGTGGCAGTCATCTGGGAACAGGAATTTCCAATTGAGAAAATGCCCCATACAATCTGCCTGTGGGCAATTCTGTAGCACAATGTTTTCTGATTAAGGATTGATATGGGAGGGCTCAGCACACCTCTGGGCAGGTGGCCCTGGACAGTAAACGAAAGCAAGTTAGGTAAGTCACAGAGAGTAGCTAGTAAGCAGTATTCCTCCATGGCCTCTACATCAGCTTCTGCCTTGAGTTCCTTCTCAGACTTCCCTCAGTGATGGACTGTGACCTGAGAGATGTAAGATGAACTCTTCTTTCCTCCTCAAGTTACTTTAGGTCATGGTGTTCGTCACAGCAATAAGAAGCAGGCTAAGACAGAAATTGGAATGATGAGTGGGGTATTTCTGTGACAGATCTGATCATGTGTTTGGGGGCAAAATGTGCTAGCATTTGAAAATTGGGCTGGAAAAGCTGTTGAGTGTTCAAAGATCAGTGGGCATATCCGCAGAGACTGGAAGAGTGCTGAGAGCAATGCAGATGATGAAGGATTGGGATGTGAAGATTCAGAAGGAAGTTTGAAAGTCCCTTAAAGAATCTACCAGGGCCTTTAAATACACTGAATTAAGAATCTGTGGTTCTGATCATCTGGGGTTGAAGAATCAGTTGTGATTATCAAGAGCTCAGATCCTCTGAAGTGAAATCCTTGCTTTCTAGGACAATTGATACTAGTCACTTGGGCTGAAGAATTGTGATTGAGACCAGCATCACTGAGATGCAGTCTTCTAGGAAGTGTTTACTCAGGGTCAGCACACAGACCTTTTGCTGGTAGCCAAACTTGGTAATGGGTACTAGTTTGGAAGACATGGAAGGTTCATGGAACACAGCGGAGACTTGACACTATGAAAGGCCAAGAGAGGGCCACTCCCACTCTACCCTTGATATCAAATTCAGGGGGTGTCAAGGTACAGGGAAATCAAAGGTTCCACAGCCTGAAGCCTCAGCATGCCCTTCCATTTTCAGTCACAGTGTCCTCAAGTGCCCACAATCAGCCCCAAGTCCTCAAGAAGAGGTTCTGGCTGTATTAGAATTGGTGATGTGGCCCCTTTCCTCAGGCTGGCACCAGATGCTCCTTCACTTTTAAATCACACTGTTCAAAAGAAGGAAGGCAGGCTAGCAAAGGCCAGTCCCATTCATTGCCCCACCCTACTCCCCAGACACACCCTGCAATATAATAGTTAATATTGATTCCCAGCTTGACAGGACCTAAAATTACCCAGGAGACAAATCTCTGGGCAAGCCTTTGAGGTATTTTCTAGATTAGGTGAAGTAAGATAGAAAGATCCACCTTAAAAGTATGTGGCACTATTCTCTAGGCTTGGGTCCTGGACTGCAGAAAGAGAAAGCTAGCTGAGCAGAACAATTAATCTCTTTACTTCTTGACTTTGAAATAGGACCGGCTGCCACAAGATCCTGCCACAGGACTTCTTCACCATGATGGACTATAGCACATACCTGTAAGCCAAAATAGCCATTTTTTCTCTTAAGATAACCTCTGTCGTTGTATTTTATCACAATGTGAGTTAGTATGTAAGTAAGGGTGATACACATAAAAGACAAAGAAGAAAGACCTTTTGATAGGGTACAGCATTATTGTTCAATAAAATCTACATGAGGTGAGTGGATTCTTAAAAACATCAGGCCATCTGTTTACAATAGAACAATGACAAACATGGAAGGAATAGGCAGCAGAAGAGGAAACATAAGAATAGGGAGAGAAGGGATTTCTTAAGTAGTAACACTGTCTACAAATGTCATCTTTTTGCTAGCACCCTCAAACCTCCAGATTCTGCAGAATGAGAAGGTCTAAGTCTTACCTTTCTAATCCAGCCGCTTTCTTTTGACTGACTGAAGACTCTTCCTACTGTTTCTTTAACCTGTTCATCTCCATCTTCTTCTGTTTTGGCAATGGAGCAACATTCTTGGTACAGTTTGAATTTAAAATGTTTTAGTTTATGATAAATTCTGGTGCGATCAGCACAAATTCTGCCAACAGTAAATACCTACATTGAGAAATATATGTCGTTATCTCAAATATGAAGTGAATAAATGTGTATATGTATGTGTATATGTATGTATGTATGTATGTATGTATGTATGTATGTATGTATGTTTATTACTTCTGGTTTTCAGATTTCCCTTATCTAAAACATGTGTTTTTAATTTTATTTAAATATTTATAAGAATGGTCCCTTTATCTTATCTATACAACCAGTCAACAGAACCTTCACCTTTTGTGCTCCCAGTATTAGGCAGGGGCTAGATGGAAGCTAAGTGAGGATGCAGCACCTGTGTTAGGAGCTTAGTGCCTTATCAGAAAGATGATTATAAAACACCACACCAAATGTTGTGATCAGAATGCTACCAAGATGTCAGTCCATGTTTCTTTGTATGTGTGCATGAATATATGAAGGCCAGAGGGCAATCTCAGTTATCATTCTTCAGGCTCCAATAATCCTATTTATTTTGAGGCACCATTTCGCACTGGTCCTGAACTTTCCAAACAGGTGAGGCATTCCAGAGCTTAAGTTTATTGGTTGGTTGATTGATTGATTTAGTGAGTGCTGGGGCTTGATCTCAGGCACTTTATGCTTGTAGTCCTCTATTGACTGAACACCTGCCTAGCCTCTGTCAGTAATTCTTGAAGTTCTGAAAACAATTTTCTGAATTTGGGAAGAAAGAGAGAAATTGCTTTTAAGGAAGAAAAATGGACACACACTAAAGCAGAAGGCATACAGAATATGGCATTACACATTTTTTTGTGTTTAAAATGCCCAGATTATGATAAATTGTAAATATAAGCAACAACTAAAAGTGAAGCACTTTTACACCAATGTTAAGTATTGTTAGTTGTTTCCTAAACAATTCCCAAATGTAAAGTAAAATGTTCTTTGTGTGTAGGCATATTTTTGGCTTTAATTCATGTGTCATGTATAAATGAGATATTAACATTTTATTGTCTGCTTTGATTATATATGGACTTCTAGGACTCTATGATACCCTTTTGTAGAATCAGTCAACCAGACCATTTCTGTTTGTTTTGATGGTTATGTTTCACTATCCAACTAAAATAGGAAGTCAATATCACTCACTGATAAATTAAATACATCTTAATTCACACTATTTTCACTCTTTGTAGAAAATTCACCAAAATGGGCTCCAAGAACACAACATGATGTATCATATAAGGATCTGAAGGCACAAATGTCCTGACTTAAGTATCTGTCTCTATGCTCAAGTGCACAAGTTCAGTACTAGCTACATAATTTTAATAGTCACCTATGTCACTTTTTCTGAAGCTGCAATACACAGGAACACAGAGTTAATGATGCTCTGAAGGTAAGAGACCAGGAATATGTTGCCAAAAAGAAATTCAAGTTCAATAATGATGACTGAAAAACAGCATGGTTAAGTGAAGCATTTTGGACATTTCATTATATCCTATGACTTTTGTTTACTTGTTTTTTCCAGACAGCGTTTCTCTGTGAAGCTGTGGCTATTCTGAAACTCACTATGTGGTCCAGGCCAGCCTCAAACTAAAACTCAAAAGATTTGCCTGCTCCTGACTCCTGAGTGATGAGATTAAAGGTGTGTGCCACATTGCCTGGCCTGTGACTTCTGGAGAGACATGAACAAATATTTATTCACTTCATGTATGGCACTCAAAAACAGACCAAAGAAAACTTTCCACTTAAGATTAAGTTAGTGGTTCACTGAGTTTTCTGGAGTTACATACAGGAACATGGATGAATAAAAGGCAAGTGCAAAACTGAGAAGCCTGCCCCAGCACAGGTGACAACTTATTCACAAGAATTGCATTCCTGGAGCAGCCTGAACAATGTACAGTCAACCCTAAAACCAATCCATCACCCCACCACCTTTTCTTCCCACTTCTGGCAACTGTTTCTGCATATATAGCTTTGGGAAAGGGTCTTGTGAGCATTATTAAGTTTCTTTCATTTCCTGAGTTTGATAAGACTTGTTTTTCTTTGTCCCCCACCCCCACCCCAAGTCCTTGTGATCCAAGGCCTCTTGTCAAACATATGGTAACTCCATCTTCCATCAAAGCATATCATTTCTTTCAAATAATCTAATCTTTGGTAAGTCAGGCAAAAGAAAATTATCAACAATCACAATTTTACTGCACCCTCGAAAAGAACCTGGTTAATCCTAGGCTTTCAATTTTAAGTAACTTTCAGTACAATGACAAAGTAGACAGTGGTTTCCAAACAATATGAGGCCAGTGGGTGGAGGTGTGGACAGTCTTTTAAAGCCCCAGAATATAAGTACATGTGCTTTTCCCTTTATTTGCATGCACTGACACAGTGGTGCAATAGGATAGAAAATAACTTTAGTAAATGGCAGTGACAGACTCGGATTATACTTTTTCTGGAAACTATTGAATTCTATGCTAAAACAAAAAATAAAGTTTTAGTGGTTTCCTTAAACTAGTTCTGTGATATGCTTATGAGGTAATTAGAATACAATGAGTTTTTTGAAATAAAAAATTACTGAAGAAAATTTATTTTACCTAGCATCATTTCAAAACAGCCATATAACTATTACTAATAACATCATCTGAATAAGTGGTATTATATCCTGCCACGCATTCTTGTATATCAGACTTTCATGTCACTATTCTAATGTTTTATTTGGACTGTTTCTACTATTTTGTACCTCACTCCTTATCAAGAATGCTTCAGTGAACTTTGCAATGATGTCATTTGCTTTTATTAATTTATTTCCATAGGATAAACTTATAGTCACTGTAGCAACTCTGGCTATACAGTCACCTGTATTTTAAAATTATACCAGATATTTCTTCCTCTAGGAATCTCACTTTACATAAGCCTACAAACTTCTAAATAATGCTGATCATACAACCTTTCAACATTTGATTAAAAAATACTATAGTAAAATATATATTTAAAAATACTATAAACGGGTCCAGACCAGGCTGGTGAAACCCACAGAAACAGCTGACCTGAACATGAGGGAACTCTTGCTCCCTAGACTGATAGCTGGGATACAAGCAGGGGACTGATCCAGACCCCAGGAACACGGATTTCATTGAGGAAACCTCGGAAATCTTCAGGACATCCTGTAGTAGTTCAGTACTTATCCTTAGCATAGGTGTGGACGTTGGGAGCCCATTCCACATAGAGGAATACTCCCTGAGCCAAGATACACGGGGGTGGGCCTAGGCTGTATCCCAAAGGACACAATAGACTCTGATAACACCCTATGGAAGGCCTCACCATCCAGGGGGAGCAGAAAGGATATGTGATAGGTAGGGTTTTAGTTGGGGGGTGGTGGTAGGGGAGGAGGGGAGGGAGAAGGGAACTGGGATTGTCATGTAAAACAATCTTGTTTCTAATTCAAATTAAAAAAATCTGAAAAAAATACTATAGTAATTTAAGAGCTATCAATGTAAATCTTAAATAGTTTTACCTCTATGTTCCTAAGGAGAATGAGCATTTTCTCTTGTATTTAACTTTTATATTTTCCCAACTGTGACTCTGCTCTTTTGGTTTCACCTATTGGTTTCATTTCTTTTCCTCTTTCCCCTTCCTCACTTTTCTCTTGTCTTTTTCTTCCTTTCCTTCCATCCTCTGCTATCTATCCCTTTCCCTCTCCCTCTCCCAGCTCTCTTTTCCTTAGTTTTTTTTTTTTTTTTTTTTTTTTTTTTTTTTTTTTTTTGTTGTTGTCCTTTTGTCTTTTGATTGAAACAGAGTCTCCCTATATAGATCAGACTGGTTTGGCATTTGCTATGTACCCTAAACTGGCCTTGAATTCATATTTTCCTGTCTCAGACTCTTAAATGTTAGGATTAGACAAATGTCCCATTGTATGTGACCTTAATTTTAGATACCTGAATTAACCAGTTTAAATAGAAACTTTATTTCTTCTCAGTAATGTTAAGTTCTATGAATGATTTTTAACTCTACTTTCCCCTCCAGGATTAGCTATATGTAACAAAGGCATGTTGAAATCAATATATTTGATCTATACAACAGGATATGGTTCTTGAAGTATTCAATCGCTTTTGATAAGATTCTGGATTTCTTATAAAAATCATAGGTTATTTTTTAAGCAATGAGGAAATTGCATATACAATATTGATAAAGAACAATTCTGAATTCATTATTCATATATACATTTTTTACATTATTTTATGTGTGTGTGTCTGTGCCTGACATATGTATTACATGCATGCAGGAGCCCATGGGGACCAGAACTGTGCATGAGATCATATAAAACCGGAATTATAAACAGCTGTGAGCTGCCATGTGAGAACTGAGAGCTGAAAAAGGGTCTTCTGAGTGAGCAGCAATACTCTTAATCACTGAGCCATCTCTCCAGTCCCCAAGAATAAAATCTATAAATGATTTTCCTAATCTTTATTTTAATGTTAACAGAGATCTGGTCAACTACTGTCCAACAGTACTAATGAATCATACTTCCCAATAAATCATATTTCCTCCATTTTATTTCATTTTTATTTATTTTTTTCCTCTACTTTAATAATGGAAGATTTACGAACAACTTTAGTTCTCTCTATTCTCCCAAAACATACATTCTCCAAAGATAAGCAGAGTCACTAGAAGAAGTTTTCAAATATTTACAAATTCAGCCTTCTTACAAAGTAAGATTAGAAACAAAAACAGAATATGTATTTTTATGAGTTCCCACTCTTGTCAATTACTTATTTTTTATTTTTTTTGAGACAGGGTTTTTTTTTGTGGCCCTGCCTGTCCTGGAACTAGTTCTGTAGAGCAGACTGGCCTATTCCTGCTTCTGCATACCTCCTGAGCACAGATTAAAGGTGTGAAGCACCAAGCCTAGCCATTATTTATTCTTGAAGCCTCTCTATGTCCAGATTTAACATCATCTTAATCAGGTAAATGATTGCTCTAGACACTGGCATGCCAGATAAAAATCTGAATTGTCTCTTTATAAGATGAACAGGCATCTTCAATTATTAACCTATAAACCACTAATTTGAATACTATCTGACATGAGGTCTTGACCTGGGTTATAGTCTTCTTTGGACTTCAAAGGCAGTACCTGTTTTCTTGCCCAAGTGACCTTCTTTATCACTCTGATCCTATACATCTCTGTCCTAAGATATGACTCACTGAGATTAAGGCTACGTACTGATTTGATCTCACTGAATTAGGGGTGAATGTGCTATAAAGACACATTTGCACCTTTGAAAATTGTACCCTGGCATAAGGGGTAGCGTGCTCACTTAGCAAGCTGAGGCCCTAGGTTTAGTATCTGTGGCATACTGATAGAAATAAAGAAAATCAAAAGTACCCTCTTTTCTTTTTCTTTTTTTATATTTTTTCATTTTTAATTTAAATTAGAAACAAGATTGTTTTACATGTCAATCCCAGTTCCCTCTCCTTCCCCTCCTCCCCTGTGCCCCACTAACACCCTACCTATCCCATAACCTTTCTGCTCCCCAGGGAGGGTGTGGCCTTCCATGGGGGTTCTTTAGAGTCTGTCATATCCTTTGGGATAGGACCTAGGCCCTCCCCCATGTGTCGAGGCTGAGAGAGTATTCCTCTATGTGGAATGTGCTACCACAGTCCATTCCTATGCTAGGGTTAAGTACTGATTTACTACAAGAGGCTCCATAGATTTCTGAGGCCTTCCAGACAGAAACTTAACAAAGAGACAAAGGAACTAACAGAAGTTATGACCTAATTGGGATTAACAGATATCTATAGAACTTTCCATCCAAACACAAAAGAATATACCTTCTTTTCAGCATCACATGGAACCTTCTCAAAAATCGACCACATACTCGGCAACATAGCAAACCTCAACAGGTACAAAAAATTGGAATAACCCCCATGCCTTATCAGACCACCATGCTTTAAAGTTAGAAAGCAACAACAATACAAATTGCAGAAACCCTACAAACTCATAGAAATTGAACAACATGCAATTGCACCATTCCTGGGTCAAGGAAGAAATAAAGAAAGAAATTAAAGACTTCCTAGAATTCAATGAAAATGAAGAGACAACATACCCAAACCAATGGGACACTTTGAAAGCAGTACTAAGAGGAAATTTCATAGCTCTAAGTTCTCACATGAAGAAACTAGAGAATAGCCACACCAGTGAGTAGGCATCACAGCTCAAAGCTCTAGAACAAATGGAAACAAATTCACCCGGGAGGAGTAGACACCAGTAAATAATCAAACTGAGGGCAGAAATCAATAAAGTTGAAACAAAGAAAACAATTCAAAGAATCAAAGAGTTGGTTCTTCGAGAAAATCAGCAAGATGGGCAAACCTTTATCCAAACTAACCAAAAGGCAGAGAGAACATGCAAATTAACAAAATCAGTACAAAAAAATGGAACATAACAACAGACACTGAGGAAATCCAGAGAATCTTCAGGTCATATTTTAAAAACCTGTACTTCACAAAATTTGAAAATTTAAAGGAAATGGACAATTTTTCTGGACAGATATCACTTACCAAAATTAAAGCACAAACAGATAAGTAATTTAAACAGACCTATAACCCCTAATGAAATAGAAGCAGTCATCAAAAGTCTCCCAACCAAAAAAAGCCCAGGGCCAGATGGCTTCAGTGCAGAATTCTACCAGAAATTCAAACAAGAGCTAATACTAAGACTCCTCAAATTGTTCCACACAATAAAAGCAGAAGGTTCATTGCCAAACTCTTTTTATGATGCTACAATTATGTTGGTACCCAAGCCACACAAAGACACAACTAAGAAAGAGAACTACAGACCAATATCCCTCATGAATATTGATGCAAAAATACTCAATAAAATACTGGCAAATCGAATCCAAGAACATATCAGAAAAATCATCCACCATGATCAACTAGGCTTCATTCCCGGGATGCAGGGTTGGTTCAACATAAGGAAATCTATCAAAGTAATCTACCATATAAACAAACTTACCTTCTTTTCTTTGTAGTGGTTTTTCTATTTGCAAGAACTATCTAGAGGACAAGCTATGAAGCCTAAAGTTTCTAAATATCGAAGGCATAGATTAGCAAAAGATACCTGCTTGTCATGTGACATGAAATCATCTGTCTCCATTGTCCTGGTGTTGTACAGCTTTCCTGAGAGATGCACTGAGTATACACAGTGGCGATGCAGCCCACAAGCCTGGCAGGAGCAGTCCGCAGGGTTCTTTGAATGGATACTTAGTGTAGAGTAGCTTTCAACTCGCTCCTGATAATAGTTAAAAATAATGGAGATTACATTAAATATGAATATATCCAAAATAAAACTTATTTTGGAAACCAGTGGGAAAAATATAAGAATAATATGGAATTTCTTACTTGAAGAAGGTATTTTTAAATTGAAAAATAAATTATTAATCTTGGCTATAAAAACAAACAAGGAAAAACAATTAGTTTCATCTGTCTCTTTGCTTACAAATTATTAATAAGTACTGTTTCCAATAGACTTTAACTTACTTTTTTCCAAGTCTCATCTGTAAGTAGCATCAATGAGATATTAAGTAGGAAAATGAGCAACAAAAGTTCAGGATAAGAGAAAGACAAATTCATTTAAGCTAGTTAGAATTTGAAAAAAAAATTCCATTCATTCTTCAGTGCATGAGTTAAGTCACATTTTCCTCAAAATATTCTGCAAATAACTTAATTCTCCTACAGTCACCTGCTTTGTTTTGTGAAAATAAGCACCTTGCAATTAATAATGTTCCATGTCCAGTACTGATGGGCTGTCTGGTGACTGGATTATCAATGAATGAACAATGTGAGAAACACTGTTCGAAATAAGCAAACTGTATTAACAATGAAGTTACTTGTACCCGAGTAAATGTGCTCACATGCAGGCTGTGCTGTATAGTCATGTTCTATTAGCAGTGTATTTTAATATCACACTTGAATGAACACACTAAGTATGTTGCTAGCACAGTTACAAATCCACATTCATCCCCTACACCAGTCAGATGAAACACCGATCCTTTACATATTGTGTGATCTGCAACACTTCTGATTTACCTGTCAAATTCTTCACACTTCACAGCATGTCACTAACAGACTTAGGTCCAGACTAGCCCTCTTCCCTTCCTGCTTCTGTGGTGCTGTGATAGGACAGTAAGATGAAAGCTCAAACAGCTTGGTTTTGTGGGTGACTACTATGAACAGAATGCACTCCATATGTAAGTTGGCATACATATTTTTCTGGGTTGAATCAGTGAGTTTTCTTCATGTTACTTTATCTTTTGCAGTATAACTCAGTGTACCCCAAGACTTTACTGAATCATCTGTCTCACAATTCTGTGTTTCTTATTGTTATATCATCCTGGGTTTTTAAAATCCACTATAACATGCCAGTGTGACAAGCATAATATAATTTCAAGGTCTGAGTTTTAAAGTATTTAATAGTTTTAAACTATTAAATACTGGCCTGTGAAATTAATAGCTGTGGAATGTTGCTTCCTGTGGTTACATTTCCTCATTGTAAATAGAGGAGAGAATAGTTCCTCCCTTTTGGACTTACTTTTAAAATTAAGTAATTAATACATTTCACATGTAAATCATTAGTCAACAGCTAAATATTCTTTAAAATTGTAACATTTTTATTTGTATTAAAGAAAATAATACTATAACAATTATTTTGTGCATTTTACCTAAAATAAATAAATATCTATTTTCCTTAAATAAACTGGGGATCCAGAGGTGTTAAAATCTACAAATGAGAAGATATACATGGTGGTTCTAAATTCAAGGCATCCTTGAACTTGAAATCTTAGAATTTGTAAGTCCCTGACTGCCCCTCAAAGTGAACCATTTACTATCATCAGGTGTAGTTCAGGCGGAAGGGTTCTTGATGAAACTAAGTTTTTGAAGTAAATGAGCATAGAAACTATTGAACTGCTAAGGAGATTTTAAGGAATTTTAAAGTCTATTATCTACCATTTTCCTCTTATTAATCATTAGAAAATAGAATATCAGCAATAGGGGTACCTTTAAATATAACATAGTTCATCCTCTGCCATTAAATATACTAAAATACAAAGCTGGAAAATAACAAAGGATCTAGTAATTCTTACATTAAAATGTCAAATTCCCAAATTGCTAAAATTATAAAATCTTAAGTTTGAGAGTATGTCAAACATGATGTAACTCAGTATCTTTCATACTGTTTTATGGAAATCAAACACCCTAAGACAGGTCTGAATTGATGGCTCCCGAGTAAAACTATTTGTTGTCATGTAAGTCTGATGATGGAAGTTGATTGCAGGAACCCACAGTGGAAGGAAAAAGCTGGGTGCTGAGTGTTGTCCTCTTCCCACAGTAGACTGTGGCAGGATGTGTCCTCATTCACACACATATCATATACTTTCATACACACTTCAAGCATATATACACAAAAATATAAAAAACAGTAGAAGGAATAACTAGTATCTCAAGAGAAACAGCCTCATGGGATCTATAATTTGAGAAATGCTGCTGTCTAAATCCCTCTTGTAGATCTGAGGTATAGATTCATGAATCAGTGCTCAGAAAAGTGCTCCAATACAGAAGCAGTTTAAGTTAGATGCTGTCTTTTCAAACTTCTTCATCTATGTGACTTTCTTCCCTGAGGAACCATCTTATAAGACAACCTCCTCATTTTAAGATAGGCCAAGCCCTAGAGATGCTCTGAAATTATTTAAAACCATTTAATTATTGAAGACATTAGTGTGGATATTTAAAACAATAAAGACTTGAGAAAGAAATTAAAATCAGTTACTATTTAACAAGGCAGAATGGCAACACTTCAGAAAATGATTTCATCTGGTTGGATATTGAAATCTTGAGAGGGCCACTGTCCCCATGTTCTTACCAGAGATTAAAAGGCAAACTATATACCTTATATTGTTCTTTCCATCGACTTCTTGAGACTAAACTCTCTAGACGGGGTTGAATAAAGCGATTATCCAAATAATGAAGAGATGTCAACATATCTTGTGCATACGACTTCTTCCTGGTGCCAGCTGTGAGCAGATAACAAAAAACAGTAGAACACTTGAAATACTGAATCAACTGAACATTATGGATGTGTAAGAGCTTTAGAAAGATGGCTAGCTAGTTGTAAATATTTTAAATTAGGAAATGATGAAGTAAACGGTTCATTTCCTGGAAGCACATGGGCAGAAAACAGGGCACAGCTTCTAATAACTTCCTGTAAACACCAACCTTTTTTTATTATGTACATCTGACAGCAGAAGGAACCCCAAGAAAAAGGCTTGCACAGAACCTTTTCTCTTTCCTTTAAAACTGTTTTGCATTTGCATAACCACTGAATTACTGATGATGCTTTACAGACTCCTGCAGCTGGCTCCATCCTTGATCCAGCGGTAACTCCTGACAACACACTGGAAAAGCCTATTCTGCCTGTCTTCCCCCTCATTCCCTCATTGCACACTACAGTCATTTTTGCTTTCCTAATTTGACTAATAGTTTGTTCTCAATTTATATTTATTTTGTCATGGCCTGTGATGCTAAGCTTCATTTTTCTACTTTCTTCAGAAATGTATTTCCAAATGAATGTAGCTAATAAATTTATTATAGTTATTAAGTCACTACAGATTTAAATACTATATCATGAATTAAAAGCCTTCTTTCCACTGTTAGCTCCTTTGAAGTCTTCTACCCTCACTCCTGACTCACTGCACTATGACATCGGTCTTCTTAGTTGTTCTTGAATACTCTGACTGTAAGCATAATAGCATTATCAGTATGTATGTATGTATGTATGTATGTATGTATGTTCTGGTTTGGTTTTGTCTAACTCGATACAAACCTCTCTAAATACAAGGTGAGTTGTATAAGAAAGCAGGCTGAGCAGGGCATGGAGAGCAAGCCAGTAAGCAGCACTCCTCTATGCCTCTGTTTCAGTTCCTGCCTCCAGGTTTGTGCCTTGGCTTCCCTCAATGGACTATGACCCAATATATGCAAGCCAAATAAACCCTTTCCCCCAAATTGCCTTTAGTTAGTATTTTAATATAAAGGAGACTATATACAGAAATTGGATCTGGAAGTAGAATATTTCTGTGACAGAGCTGACAATATTTTGGAAGGATTATGGAGATGTTTGGAACTTTGGATTGGATAAGTCATTGAGTGCTTGGAGCTTAAAGGGCTGTTCTGTGAGATCCTGAAAGATAAGAACGCTGAAAGCAATGTAGACAATGGAAGCCTGGATTGTGAAGTTTCAGTCCAAGTACTGAATAGTGTTTCAATTTGTAACGACTGGAGCTTTTAAAAGTTGGAATATATTCTATATTAGATATTTATATAAATATGAAATATTATAAACAAGCTAGAAGGGAAGGGTTATGTTATGATAGTAATGTATTGATGTATCAAACTGATAAGGGGGTCAATTGTCCTGGTTGGTGTTTGGGAGAGGGAAATTCAATACAAAAAATACTTCCATTAGATTAACTATAGGCAAATGTGTAGGGCATTTTATTTATTAATGATGGAAGTGGGAAGGCCTAGCACACTGTGAATAGTCCTACCCCTGGGCAGGTAGGACTATGTTATATAAGAAAGCTAAGCAAGCCATGGAAAGGAATCCAGGAAGCAGCAATCCTCTATGTCCTTTGTTTTCGCTTCCTGTCTCCAAGTTTCCGCTTTGGCTTCCCTCAATGAACTGTGACCTAGTATATATACATAAGCCAAAAAACCCTTTAATTCCTAAATTGCTTTTGGTCAGTATTGCTTTTGTCACAGAAATATAAAGTAAACTAATATATTCACCTTACTAATCTTTATATTTAAAAGATACTTCATTACATTATTTGGCCAATCTGTCCAATCTTCATATATATGTTATATATACACATATATAGTTAATATATAAATATATTATAACATACACACATATATATGTTATAATATATTATAGTTTACCTATCAATCTGTCCTGGCTAGATGTCAACTTAACAAATCGGAGAAGAGGGACTTTCAATTGAGAAGATTCCTCTGTAAGACTTGCCTAGGCAAGTTTGTACAATTGTTTTAGTGATTAATGTTTGTGGGCTTTGCCCATTGTGGGTGGTGCAACCTCTGGACAGGTGGTAGTCCTGTGTGTATAAGAAAGCAGATTGAGCAAGTCAGGGGTAGTAAGCCAATTCTCAGCACTCTTCCATGGCTTTGCTTCAGCTCCTATATCCAGGTTCCTGTCCTAACTTCCCTCAGTGAAGGAGTGTGATCTGAGAGTTATAAGCTGAAATAAACAAATAAACCCTTTCCTGTCCCAGTTGCTTTTCTTGTCATGTTGATTTATCCCAGCAATAGAAACCCTACCTAAAACTCTCTCTCTCTCTCTCTCTCTCTCTCTCTCTCTCTCTCTCTCTCTCATCTATCTAATGTCCATTAGCTTCTCTTCTTATTATCCAACTATGCATACCTATTCCCACAAGAAGTACATACTAGTTTTCATTCACATATTATGCTGTTTACTCACTTATTGTCTGTTAATTTCAAACCACAAAAGATATAAATCTAATGTTTCCTTACCTTTTGTGGTTTGAAATTACCATATCACCAATCCTCAAATAATGCCTGGACCATATGGCATTCAAGAAATATGTGTTCTATAACTTATGAATAAAATCTTATTTAGGCACTGATAGGTATTCGGTACAACATATGCATAGTCTATGAATGAAATGTCAGATTCTGTGTTTTGGAGATGTGTATATATTAAAAGTTTAATTTCTTATACTCTGGTAAGGCAAGAAAACAGAGATATATTTTCAACACAACACAGGAATTCACATATATGGATAGGACCATACTCAGAATGAGAGTGCCATGAGCAAGGCAATGAAAAGTATTCATACTTTTCACAACAGAAATATTTTACATTTACCTAGAATATTACAGAGAACAGCATGGGCCAGGGCACAGATGCAGAAAATAGCATGGCCTTTTGGTGAAATTCAAATTCTTCGAGGACCTGAGAAAGCACAAGAATGTTGAGGCAGCCTTCTCTTTTATGGGTGTATGTTCTATATTCACAAATTCACTGTAGAATCTTTTAGAGCAATGACTTGTCACATACTTACCATCTATATCTCAAATAAATTAACAAGCCTTTCATGTGAATGCACTTATAGTGTAGTTTATTCTAGAAGGAACAACTGGCAAAATTTAAGAATGGTTTGTCTTAGCTTTGCTTCATCTAATTTCAAAAGCTATTTAGGAAAAATTTTAAAATGTTCCAGTGGTACTATGAACTTACCATACAAGGTTTCCAGAAAAGATTCATCGAAAGCATTGATCAGAAGAGCCTTCACAACTGTTTCAAAGTGAGTATAGTGGTCACTAAAAGAATCTGAAATTAATTTAAAGTAATTATTAGGATATAGAAGGCAAAACTAAGATGACTGCAATAGGCCCCCTTCCACTGCTAGGAAACTGGTTGCACAAATTTTACTCATTCTGTATCTGCTTTTGTGACTTGGGGCAATTAAAAATATCCATTTTCCAAATTTAATTGTTTCTAACCCAAAGTATCTAGATGTTATCTAAAATGGTCTCAGACTTACAAAGGGGGAAATTCTTCAGAGAACCCTGAGAGATACACTGTGAAAAATCAAAATAATCCATGTCTACTTGAAATGATTAACCAGAATAAAAGAAAAAGGCAAGAAAGCCTCCCAAATAGACTGTTTAATATGCTTTAGACGATACCATGCTACACATGACACAGCTCAGGAAACAACTACTCACTGAAATCTCAGTGGGCATAACAGCTCTGTTATCCCTTATCCTGTCACAGACGCAGGGTTTCCCACACCACTTTAAAGAGCTGTGCCTTCTCTTTACCACACTACACACATAATGCCATTACAGTCTCTCTAAGCTAGCCTCAGATGTGACTTAATCATGGTGACAAGCCAGGTAATGGTGCTTTTCTTGTTACTCTGGGGCTAGAATTTACTATGGGGTATGGAAATGTTCTCTGCAAATCCTCTTTCCCATGATTCAAATCATCATCAAAGAACACTTGCCTTGCTGGAGTTACCTGTAAACTAAGACTGGAAATGTGGAAGATGATTAATTAGGGACTGAAGAGAAAAACAGGACATAGTCTTGGAAATCATGAATGGATTGGGGTTTATTTCCAGTTGATAAAATGGATTGAACACCGAGAGGGTGTTTTACTTGTTTGCTAAAAGGGCTGTGTAAGGTTTCTAGACTTTCAGGGAAATTTCAGTTTCTACTCTTTCCAGGGGGTGCCAAATTTTAAATATCAACAGAAGTAATTTGTTAGACTTTAGGGGGCTTACCATTGAAAATCCAAAAGCAGCAATTGTGTCATTAGAGGATACAAGACTATTAAACACACACACACACACACACACACACACACACACACACACATAATGGGAAAGTAAAGTACAGTAATACTTCAAAAGAATTCACCTGTGACTAGATTTTTCAACACTGTTGTAAAAGAAAGTTGGTATATAATTCTGAGTTAAAAATTATTTACAGACTTGTGGGGAAAGAAAGTTAAACTCAATCACTTTGGGACTAAGTTTAACCATCAAGCAAATGCAACAGAGTTTTTTTTAACCTCACTTCAATGTGCTAATGCCCAGTGTTACTCCTCTGCCACGGAATTTTAAGAGCTACAGCTCTATTTCAAAGGATCTGGAAGTTCCCCTTCAGGAGCTGGAGGAAAGGACAGAGATCAGCATTGCTTGGGTGACTTCCTAACCACAGGATATTCTTCCTAGCCATGTGCATCAGAATCTCCTTACAAAGGAGACACTGGTTTCATCATATTTGAGTAAATGGTGGACAGTGCTGGGATAATGTTCCTAGTATTTCCAACTGAAAGATAACAAAACTGAGGAAGAAAATACCAGTCATCGCCTGAAGCATTTATGTGCACTGCCTATTTCTAGAGGGCTAATCAAGGAGGTGTTGCCCTTGGTATAATTTTAGTTGAGGAAACTGAAAAGAAGAGATGATGAGAAGGGTTCTTAAAATCATATAGCTGGAGGCTAGTACCAGGCAGTCTCCTCCTCCAGACTTTGTATTCGTGTCCCTTGCATAGGTGGTAGATTTGGCATTATCTTTCAAACACAGAACTGGATTGAGAATTGGAGAATATAAAATTCAAATTTCTGACCTAGAAGGAAAAATGACAACTCTCAGTGACAAAGATCTCAAAGATTACAAGTAAACAGAACAGAGGCTTGGAACTAGGTTTGGAGCCCAGGCTTCCTTCAGGACTAGTTCTAATACCTATATTGGATGAATGTCAGTAGAATATTCTTGAAGATTTACTTAAAAATTTCTCCCCATGATCATCTCTTGTTTAGCAATACTGAGGTTTGTACTTAGGGTCTCCTGCATGCTATGCATGCACTTTATGATCATTTCAATCCAGAAAAAGATAAAGAAGTCAGATTTGTTATTATGTATGATTTTATTTTTCTAAGATACCAAGCAATTCCTCCATGTTCCATTTACTATCTAAGTATTCTGCTATTTCCTGCATCTTTTAGCTGGATATATGCTGACATTTTGCTTCAACATCCTTCCTATTGATCTTGATGTTTTTCTCATGTCAGCTCTGCCCTGATTTACTTATTTCAACTGAATGAGAAATTGTTCAATTACTACTTTTTCAAAATTCACTTTATTCTTTTGCATTTGTTCTTTTAATTCAACTGCAGAAGAAAGACTTCTTGTGGTGTGTAGAGTACTTTCAGATCATGCTCATGTTTCCTTTCTTATTTCATTGTAAGGGGTTTGGGTTTTTTTTTGTTTTGTTTTGTTTTTCTTTTCCTACAAAGCCTGCCATAATTTTAAAATTGGGTTTAGGACTTTATTTTGTTGGTGGTGTAGAAGGAATTTTCATTAATTATATCCTTTAAGTATTTATTTCTAGTATAGAAGAAACTAATTGAGCTTTGTATATCCACTATTATTTTGGCTACTTTACTGAGATCCTTTACTAATTTCAAAATAGCTTCTCGTGGATATGTTGGAAGATGAGCCTCCCAAGACACCACAGAGCTGGAGATGGGTATTGTTAAGGAGTTCTGATGACATTATTTCTGCTTTCGCATCCAAACCAAGAGAAAATTTATAAATACTCCCCCAGAAAGAAGTGAATGGCTAGCTGATATGTTGTCTTATGAAATGAAAGCATACATATAGCATGAGAGGTAGAGGTAGAGTAGGAAAATTTTCCTTTTTAACAGTTCCTCTCTATCCCTGCACACACTCAGGGAAGACAGAATATATGTAGAAAACTACGGAAAGAAACTCAACATACACTCCTGCTCTTAAAATATTCATATTATTTCTCTTAATTCTATATATGTGGTTAAATTAGAAACATAGCCATTATGCTTATATACACACATATATACATGTCATCATCCTAGGTGCAAATGTCTTTTTCAATACTGATTCTCTTTTACCTACCTCACAAGAAACTTATCCTAAGCAGAAAATATTTTTTTCCAACATGGATAATTGAGCTAGTGCAGTTTAAATTGTTTTTTTTTCTTCTAAAACCAAAATAAATGAGTCAGATCATCCCTGTGAAGGCCAAAGTGAAAATTGAGGTTAGCTGAGCATCAGCCCACTCAAGGTTTATCTATCTTCTCTGTAGTCTCTGACGTGCTTTGACAGAGCAAAGTATACAGCAAGTGTTGACTGCATTCAAGGAGAAACAGTAACAGAAAGTGGAATAACGTGAAAATTCCTTAAGGACACCTCATCTGGGCTGGGGATTGAAATTAAAGCTCTGCTTCCAGCCCCATCACACATGCACAAACACACCACTGTTAATCAGAGACCATCTATAGTTCTATTTAGTTTGTTCTTACATCTTAATGAACTGCTCAAGTACACCTGAAATAGGAAAATTTTCTGTCCTCTTCATTTCATAAAGAACACATCTAGTGTTTCATTATAAATGGTGGTTCTCACTTGAAAATGGTCACATAAAGAACAAATGATCCTATTAGTAATTTAAAAAACCCATACATTTAAAAACATGCACATTGAATCCAAACAAATATTTCTTTTAGGCTTACTTTTTGTTGCACTTATAGAATTATCTGAATTGCTAGCTGGCAACTAAGTTGTTTATTTTCTTGGTCTAATGTCCAGTTTTCTAATGACACAGTGGTTGGCTGAAATGTATTCTTTTCACTTTTACTACTCAGTTTTGTCTGAACATATGATAGGATAGAGTGCTAAAGGACGAATGCAATTCTTACTGTCTGCCTAACAGTGTTTTCCTGTTTCTTCCACCTGTGTACAGTATTTCTGGCATGTGAACTATGCAAGTCTGATATGTGACCTTCAACCACCTTCCATATCTATCAGAAGAACTGTGAACTCAGAATATAAACAGATATTTACAGGGCTGATGAAAATAGAGGAAGACTTAACTGTCATGTTTCAGTCATGAAGGAGGAAACTAGTCCTGAAGTGGCATACATGTAACTCTTGGCCAATGGCTTGTGATGAGAAATGACAAATGTCTTCCCTAGTCTTTAATGAGTTGAAACCCACACCCATTTGTTTTTGAGATAAGATCTAACTGTGTAGCCTTGGCTGAACTGGAAATTCCTGTATAGCCCATGCTTCCCTTGAACTCACAGACCCATCGGCCTCTCCCTTCTAGTGCGGGATTATAGGCGTGTGCTACCACTGATGGCCAATTTTGTTTTTCAACCGTACACTGAATATAGAGTTAGGAGAAGCTTCTCTTGAGTTGCACTTAGTATGAATTCTTGTAGAAGTTGGCAGAATGAATGTGGGAATGCCACTTCAGTTATAATTTAACATGAGTCACAGAGTGGTATTCACTGTTCATCATATAGGCTATTGCCTTAATGAGAAAAAAATGTTTTGAATTTATAAGAATTAACTTACAGCAACCTTTAGAACTTATTTCCTTGACTAATCAAAAATTGCTTAAATTTTGTTAACTGCATTGTACATAAAATTGATAAGCCAAAAGTACTAATTAATCACACATTTAAACTCTAAATTTTTGTTTTATTAGCTCTGATATATACAAAAACTCTACTCATGATTAGCATTTATCTCCATCCATAAGATCCAGGAATATTCTGACACTATATTTTAGTCACCCACCCAACTAACAATGTACTCCTATAAAAATGCCACGAAGACTTAAGAACTGGGAGTGGTAGCCTAAGACTGCAATCCTTGGAACTTTTCAGAGTGAAGACAGGGTGATTAATATTAATTTGAAATCAGGACGGGCAACACAGTTCCAGGCCACACTAGGTGACAGTGTAAGTTCCTATCTTAAATGAAATAAAAAGAAATGAAAACACACACACACAAACACACACACACACACACACACACACACACATGAGTAGGATTATAACAAAGACAGAACATAGCCAACCATCCAACCTTTTCTTCTAGAAGTCAGATACTTATTTCATTGGGCTTTACTTCTTATATACTAAAAATTATTTCTGATGTCCAGTTCTGATAAATGTATGAAATTATATAACCATCCTTAAAAACAGTTGATCTACTATCTCAACTCCTTGACAATATCTCTTACTCGGGTTTTCTACTTATTGAGCTAGAGATGTCTAAAAGATACTCAGATTAAACATGCCCACCACGTTGATGAAAATTTGCACCTTATACTCAGGAGAAATCTTGCCTGGAGTTAAATTTTGGGGAATTTTTTGTCTATATACTGGGTTAAAGTAATGGGAAACTGCCCCAAGTACAAGCTAAATGAAGGCAGTTGATGATGAAACACTGGGATATACAAAAGCTGAATGGCAAATGGGAGATTAGTGCAAAATTAGGAAAGGCAGGAGAGAGTGGTAGAGCAGAAGCTACAAAAGAGAAACATTCAAGAACTAATAGTGGCCAGTGGCAGCAAAGCACAAAGCAATACTGGGTTAACAGAAGAAATGAAGAATATGTTAGTGAACACAGGTTACCCAGAGCCCATGTTTCTACAGCAAACAGGAATAAAAAGAGTTAGAATAGTGGCTCATAGGACATGTCAACTCAAGGAAGGAAGAACAAGAATACTGTTACCAGTTAAGAAACACAACTTGTTGAGAAAGACTACTACAACTACAGAACATACAAAATAAAATAGATTACATAGAAAGTGAAATACAAAGCCTTGAGATAGAGATATTTAATATTAAAAGTAAACCCAGAGATCTCTGGAATTTATTCAAGTGAGAGAGAGTCTTATGCCCACAGAAAATTCTGAACACAAATGTTTATATTAGTTTTATTCATAATTGCCAAAAACATGGAATCAATAAAGATGTTTTGCAACAGGTGAGTGCATAAACTGTAGCAAATCCACACAATGCATTTTTACTCAGCAATGAAAGTAAGTGAGCTATGGTATCTGGTTTTGTCATGGGGTGAAACACAAGATCCACAGTTAAATGAAGAAACCATAGGAAAAGTTACATGCTGTGGTGTTCTTAATTATGTGACATTCTGGAAATGTTTAAACTATGGAGACAAAAAATAAATCAATGATTTCCTAATGTTCTAGGAAGAAAAGGTGGAAATGTACATTTACTACTTTTCACATTGCTATCATTAAATACCTGACAAGAAATAACCTAAGGAAAGAAAGATTTACTTTGTCTGACTGTTACAGGGTACAGACCATGGCATCAAGAACAGCTTATAGTTGCATCAGCAAAGGCATGAGGCTTTTTACATCACGGTGAAGCAGTGAAGGGAAAATGAGAACAAGCAAGCAAGTGGGTGACATTTAGCCAGAAGCAGGGTTTGAGCTGTAATTTCTAAGGTCTGGTCCTTGGAAACTCACTTCTTCCAACATGTCCCACCATCTAAAGTTTTCACAGCTCCCCCAAACAGTGCCACTACCAGTAAATAAGTATTCAAATACACAAGTCTGTGGAGAACATTAAAAAAAGTAACAGATAAGGACAGTTTAGGACACTGGAACTATTCTGATGGGTATGCCATTAGACAGTTGTCAAAATGCTTGGGAGGTATAAGAGAGAGCTCTAATGTGAACTATGAATTAATGATAATGTATTAAGATAGGCTCATCAATTGTAACAAAGGTTTCACACTAGTGTAAGAAGTCAAAAACAGAGAAACTGTGTGGGTGAGGGAGTACACGGAGTAGGCAGAGAAGGAATTAGATGTACTTTACTCATACTGGTTTTGCACATAATCTAACACAGTATAGATAAAGAATCCATCATGATGGTTTGTCTCTTAAGTATTTGTTTAATGCAAATGCCCAAGTGGCAAGTGAACTAGTAGTACCTGTTGATAAGAAAGTTAGAGATTAACTTGAAAATGCCTCATTTTCTTCCTTAATTTGCCAAGTTTCTTGAAATATGAATGATTCTTAGACCTGTTTCATTACAAATTATGGGATACAAGTCAAACTGCTATAGCTAATTTTAGTAAATATGACTTTCCTAAAATAATATTTAGGAAGAATGAACTCTCGAATAAATGAACCTGTTTCTATGAACTGTAAAACATCACAAAAACAATACTTGAATTTATGTAAAATCATAGGTACCTAAGTAGTGATATATATATTTAGATGTATTCCAACTTTTCAAATTCTCTTATTTAAAAGCATATTAATTACACACATACACACACACACACACACACACACACACACACACAGAAATTTCCTAATTTTGGTAGGCTTCACTCTTTGTGTGAAGATTCAAAAAGCTTGATAAAAACCTGTGGTTTTAGAGTAAGTATACTGTCCTCATCTATTAAGGATATTAGCAAGATCCATGCAATTATCAATACTAAAACACTATATTTTTCTGACATCTTACTGATAGTACAAAAGTACAATTGGCAAAACAGCTGCCCCTTCACAAATAGCACTAGTACCAGACAAAAATGATGGCAGTCACCACAGTGAAGCACTGATGATAAAAACTATCCTCTTACTTAGGAATACCCTCAATGAAATAGTAAAAATAATTACTATCATTAATCTCCAGTTTAATAAGCAAGTTTTTTAGTACTCTATAGAATAAACTTATACTGCATAGCAAAATAGAGGGAAAATCACTCATGCAACTGTTATAACTGGGGCAAAGCTTCATTTGTCATGAAATCATTTTCACATGAAAGAAAAATGACAAACTAGATATTCAATAATATTCATCAAATGTTTTCTCAAGACAGAACAATGTGATCCTGTCACCTTAAGTATAACTTGCTGCTTTTGTTGATAAGCCAACTTTTTAAGTTAAAAAAAAAAACATACTTCTGAAAAACTTATATGCAGTAACTGTGCATATGACAACTTCTCAATATTATAGGAATATTCTGATAAATATTCTGATGATATCAAGAGATATTAATAAAAATCATGATGATACATGTGAAGATATGGAGTATCTATATAAAAGTTCATTTATATGGTTGCAGTTTCCACATTACAACTAACCTTCAGGAAAGTATCACCTGTTGGATTTTTGTGTATTAACACTATCTGATGAGAATATCCACAATTATTTTGGAACTACTATGAAAATGTTTTTCCCTTTTCCAGTTATTTATCAGAGTGAGGCAAACTGTTTCATGCACTTCAACAAAACAGCATATTACAGCAGACTGAAAGCAACTCAGATATAAGAATCCAGCTGCCCTTTGGTAAGATCACATTAAAGAGATCTAATGGGGCAGGAGAGATGGCTAAGTGGTTAACAGTGCTTATTGCTCTTGCACAGGACTCAGTCCAGTTCCCAGTAACCACATCAGGAGGTTTACAACTCCCTTTAAATCTAGTTCCAGGGAATCCAATGCCCTCCTGCATCTGTGGACACCTGCATATATGCATATCATGCATATAAACTCACACAGGTACACATACAAAACATATAAATTAAAAAATGCATCTTCAAAGTGATTTCAAAGAACTTAGAATAATGCCAGTCTTCTGTTTTGGAAAATAGTTATTTTCTATAAAATGTTTTTATCAATAAGTTTTCTAATGTTATTTTAATTAATAAATGTGTTTTCAATTGTATTTATAGTGGTAAATACTGACAAAAGTTAGCCTGATGAAAATAAATGCTTGTTGGCTGGGGTCCATTGAATTTATAAGGGAAATGAATTATTAAAACCAGTGGAATAATCTCTTATTGTTAAAATTTAAAATACATTAACATAAAACCATCGTTCTTTACCAATGTTTAGAAGATGATATTAATAGGCTTTAATGCTTTATGTAATGATTCGAACAAGATACAAACAACTGTCTATATTTAACTTACAAAGAGAATTCTGTTTTACTAATTTCAGTTGTGATGTAGTCAAATTTTCTCCTTGTTGATTTTTATTCTCTTCATCACCTTCCTCATCTTGTACTACAAAATCATCAATCATATAATCATCTCCATTTTCATCATATTTGTAATCGTCCTCATCCTCATCTTCATCAGTACTTGAACAAGATTCCTTTTCAGAGTCCTAATTAAATGAAAATAAATGCTTCAGTAAATATTATGCCTTTTAACAAGCCCATATGGCTATAAAATTAAATCTGAAGGCAAAAAAATCAATTCACATACTTAAACACATATTTTAAGGCTAACTATTGAACTTTTGAAATTGAAGAAGCATAGACTTTGGTTATGTGATGTAAAATGTTTAAAATAAACATTAAAATATAAGTAATTAAGAATGGGAAAGACCATACAGAACAACAAATAGTCTTTCAATGTTTTTAAAAGACAGAGTGAGGTGCACAATAAATTATTATTATTAAATAAAATAATACAAGAGTCAAAGATGCCTATTTAAAAATTCTAACTTATTGGAAATAGAATAGACTCGGTACTTTAGTATTTATAAAAGCTACCTTCAAGTAAAAATTTAACAACAATAAACCAACAAAATAAAACACACCTCAAAATTTCTACCACTATTGCGTCTTTGTCTCTGGCGTGATCTTTCTGAGAGTTCCTTTAGCTTCTGGTGATGTTCTCGCTTTCGAGCAGCTAATGATTTTTCAGGGGTTTCTTGTTCTGTTTCCAAAGAAGAACATTCATCTTCGACCACCCTGCGTGGACGTTTAGCACTTACTTTTCTAACTAGGATATCGCTGTCATCACTGTCATCACTGTCATACATTACAGAAGACAGCCTTTTTCTTTTTCCAGGCTTGATGTATTCATCTTCCATATCCTCCTCTACGCTTTGTTTGGTATGCCTGTTGACATCACCCTTCTCTTGACCTGATGGACGATTTTCATCGTCTGGTAAATCATGTTCAGTTTTGTTCATTTTTTCTTCATCTGTTGAACTATTGCTGGTGTTTGTAAGAGGTTTACTGTTGCTTCCCTCAGTTTCAACTTTGATTAATTTAGGCTCTGTTTCCTTTTCTGGTATTTCACTAATACCAGGATTCTTGCTACTATCAAGCTCTTCACCACTATCAACACTTTCACCACTCTCAAGCTCTTCATCACTATCAACTTCAAGTTCCTCATCACTATCAAGTTCTTCATCACTATCAAATAACTGTGAGATACTTCTTTTAGTTCGACGCCAATCAACTCGAGATTTTTGCTCAGGTACTTGAGTTTTAGAATTTTTCCTTGTTTCGTGTCTTCTAACATGTACCATTTTCACTTAAGCTTCTACAAAATAAAGTTATTAGGAACGTAACAATGACAACCAGATTACAGCAATGAATACATAGCACACATTAATTTGGCTTCATTAAATAGTTCACAAAGGCAAATCACATGAGATATTTGTGTAAAAAAAATCACAGAACAGTCAACGTACCAATAACCCATTGAACTACTATTTATTTTTGAACACATTTTAATTATGCTATATGTTGTGCTGAAAAGAATACACAGAAAAGTTATGGTCCTGCATCCTTTAGAAAACTGTATAAAACTTAAACATGCAAATATAATAAAAAAATTCAAGGTGGTCAGTATTAATGAGTAATAAAAATAAATGTGATAGAAATGTCAAGATGTAGACAAATTAATAAGTCAATTAGTTCACCAAAGACCATCAGTAGCAAAGTTGCTTAGGCACAATTTTCAAGGACTGGTTAGATTAGAAAAAAAATAATGAAAGAAAAAGTAATTTCAGATAAGTAAACATAGTAGGGCAAACTCTGGCACTGATAAGGAACATGTTATACTTAGTAAAGAAGTGTTACTAAAAAGGGATAAATAGCTTCTGGCAGGAAAAAAAGGGAGACAAGAATAGAAAATAATGATGGGATTACAAAGACAGGGCTGGGAGGTGGCTTAGTGGATAAATTGACTGCCATGAAAGCATGAGGCACTGGATTGGCATCCTCGTCATCCACATTAAAAACTGGCTGGTGCAGTACACAGCAAAGTCAGCAACGGATGTGGAACAGGACAGATATAGGGGAATCTCAGGGGTGGCTCCTTGACCTGTTAGTCCAACTGAAATGACTACCTCTGGGTTTCATGAGAAATCTTGTTTCAAATAATAATAATAATAATAATAATAATAATAATAATAATAATATGACAATAATACTAATAATGTGAGAAACAAGCAAGCTAGCTCTACGTCCATCCCTGGTGTCCACAAACACCTGCACTGACAAGCAAACTCACATACACTGCATACATGTGTTCAACACACACATACACTGAATTACAAAGAGGACTCATCCTCAGGCAAAGTAGGATTTGATTTGGAACAGAAATAACATGAAATTTAAAGGCTCGATCAAGTTACATGAACAAAGTTACAATGTGGTAATTGATATAAAAGAGATGACAATACAACATGGAAAGAACCTATCTTCTAAGACTGTAGCCTCTATATTCCTTTGTAAAGTGGAAATGGTGTTATACTACACTTAAAAAATACAGACCAATCCAACAAAACTTACTAAAAGTCCATAATGTAGTCAAATGAAAAAGGTAAGAAAAGTTTCATGGCAAAGCAGAGCATATAGTACAAGGAAGAAAAACCAAAGCTGTCAGTTTGTGATTTTATAAAGTATATTTCACTAAATTTATCACAAGCATGTATTAAACTAGGTAATATAGTTTAGGTGAGATAGGTATGATAACTAGAAATTTAGTAACACATATGTACTTCTGTGGTTGCCAAGGAACAGAAGAATCATAAGGTAATATGACCTCATAGTATATGTGTAAAAGCTTATGAAAATTATTATAACAATATTCTACAATAGCACACAATATTCCTGGTTTTTTACATATAGTAGTATCAACAGATAAAACAAAAATAGAACCTTACAAACAAAATAATCCAAGATTATGAAAATAATCACACTGCTTATTTTTTATATTCCAAACATTAGCTTCAAACATCCACTTCATCTGTCTCACTTTTAAGGGATTATTAGAAGCTTAGAGAAAAAAAAAGTCTTTATAAGATTAACAATCATTGAAAATACTAAAAAAAAAAAAAAATGTGTACCTAACTGTAAAGGTAGCATCAAAATTACAAAGCCAAAATAATTAAGCAATGTTGGCATTACTGGACCAACTTTATAGTGTTCCAAATATTATTATTTGGAAGAGAAAAGACTATGTTAACTGTACTAATTCTGGTATGGTTATTAAGGCAGTACACCTCCATATAATGGTAGCTTCTCATATAAAATCAGAACAGCAGAAATTATAAGATTATTCACCAAAAATGACCTGCATAGCATAAGCCAAAGTATAATTTTTGATAGTATCTGCTACAGGATAATACCAATGTAACAGTGATAGTATTAAATACCAATAGTACACCAAATGGTCTATATGATAGTAGGTTATAATCTATGTGAGTTATATTGAAACCAACAAAAGTAAAAAAAAAATAAGGTATGTAATGAAAATTACTTTAAAAACCCTAGATTATTCTTCAAAGCATACCTTTTGCATACTTCACTGCTTTACAATATGTCTACCTAATTTCTCCAATAGTTTTGAAAATATTTTTGTTAAACACTAGAATAACTAGGCAGCTTAGGTATAGTAAAGTATTTGTAAAGACATATAAATTTTCATAAGCCAATTTTGCATATGTACATTACACAATCAACTTGTTTGAATTGGGAGAAATAATGAAAAACACTTCAAAAGACAAACATGGTTTCAATAGATACATGAAGTAAATATGGACAGTAAGAAATGTTAAGGTGAAAGATGATTTTATTTTAGTACACAAGGCAGATTCACATACACCAGATTGTTCTTATAAAACTACAATGGGTGGTTTCTAGGACAAGAACAGAAATGATTAAGACTATCATACTATTAAGAAGACACATGACTGCACACAATGAAGGTATAGATGGACAAATCACCTATATTTAAAGTTGGTCAGTATATTTTCATCTTTATTTTTAAATCCTGACAATGATATTCGAAAGAAGATACTATTTATCTTCAAATACAAATATTAAAGCCAAGTACATAGAGGTTAAAAGACTTACCAAAGATCACAGAGCTTGCTAGTGACAGAGCAGGGTTAGAAACCAGGCCTCCTGATCCCGTCCAGTGCTACACAATGACTGCTGGTAGTATCATGTGTGTACACATAGTGAAAATTAACACTTCAAAGTAATATTTTATTTCTTAGTCATGCTAAATTTTAATTTCAGAAAACAATCATCAAAATGGTGAGAATTAACAAGCATGCTTTTCTAAAACTATGAAACTGAATTTAAGTGCACATGGGTTAAGTCAGAAGTTTTTGAAAAGTATCCATTAGGCAGGAAAAAAATGTTCAAGAGATGGAAAGCTGCAGACTTCCCTCTACCATTTTATTGATGACATCAACCACAAAATTTAAGGTCCAAAGCAAAAATCTCTATGGAAAAATGAAGACTTGAACCTTTTTAGAAGGTGTATTTTATTTAAACTAAGTTTCATTTGGCAAACTGCACATTTTCCAGGGCTTCTGTCTTTTTGTCATTGCTATCAACATGGTTAAAAAAAAAAACTGTTAGCAAAAAGGACATTTTTGAATGTTAGCTCTTTGTAAATCATGGATAGCTTTACTAAATTATCTGGGGAGGGAAGAATGTCAGAGGAAAAAGGTGAGTGACCCAGGGAAGAAAAATGAGAAAAATGAAGCCAAGTTCATGGGTAAGACATTTCCATGTTTAGAATTCACCTACAAAAGAATCCATGCAAATGGGTATGAGTTTTTTTGTTTATGCTGGATTAAAAAATTCAAATGAGAATTTTATCAAGATATCTTACCTTCAGACAAAGAGAAAAACAAGGACTTGACCAGAAAGCATCAAATAAGTGAATGCAGGTCAATACTATCATGTGTTTCATGGTTATCATGTGAGATGCATATATTAACTTTGATGTCTGCCAAAGGATGTGATTTAAAGATAATTCATATTTGCATGTGTTCTCTCTCAAAGTAACTTTACAGGTAAAAGAAGGTACGGTGTTAATGCCACTTGAATCAATCAGAAGAAATATTTTCTTTTAGAATTTGAGGTTAATTCATACTCAAGAAATATCTCACAATGAAGTCACCTACTTACTCTACAAACAATGTGGGTAGATGATAGTTACTTATCTCTGATTTGAAGTGCAAACACTATGCTACTTTTGGAAATTCTGCCAGGAGGGATTAATTCATAAAATTTGTAGAATATCAACCCTCTTTTATGTTTTCTTTTACATGGTAGTTTGGAGAGCAAATATTAAAAACCAAAGTAATAGTTATTGAACATTTATCAAAATGCCAGCACATGTTTTGGAGCAGTGATGCTACTAGAAGAAATAAATGAAGCCCCTGCTCCCAAGGAGCTCACAATCTTAACAAAATTACTAGGGATATGGAAACCAAATCAGCACAATAAAGGATTTAAGGGCTGCATGCATTATTTTGCTTAAGTTTTTGTCACATTGGTTTGAGTCAATCTATCATAATCCTCCCATTGGCTGGAAAAGAGGGCAGCATAACATGACAGAAAACAGGAAATGATGAATTAAAGGTATTAAGAGACAAGCCAATGCCTCCCATTTGACACCATAGCTCAAAAATACTTCATATTCTCAGAGAGTGGGTCCTGTCAGCCTAGATCACTCATTAGCATCTGTGACAGGGGCTGTTGCTCCCTAAATCCAGCAGGAATGAAAGTTTGGGAAAAGATCCTTTGGGGTGTGAACACTATGGTCACATTCATGATTACCAACCTGGCTTTCTGGAGGAACTCATTCCCCAGAAACAGGAAGAGGGTGCTCAGGCCTCCAAAAAGGAGGGATGGCTGTTGATAGAAGACAGGAACCTCTGACCCAGCTTCACTAAGACTGCACAAGGGTTGTGTGCATCCACAGATAACGGTCTGGAGAGACAAGGACATTGAAAAAGGAATGTGCACTCAGATAGGGGTGTGCCGAAAAACTCCCAGGAGGAGCTGTGTACAGCCACATAAGGGTCTGAGGAGACACCCATGGAAGGCTGTGCTCGCACAGGCGGGGTCCGAGGGGGGAGAGAGGGGGGGGGGGTGGAACAGGGGGGGGCGGGGGGGGGGGGGGCGCTGGGGGGGGCCAGCCTGTACTCCTCACCATTCTCCGGCTGCTCTGGAATGAAGGTGAAGTTCTTTGCACACACACACACACAAAATGCCTCAGCAACTTGGGCAGAACA